TAGCAGGCTTTTAGGCCTTGCCTTGGACCAGTCCCTTTTGGTTGACTTTTGCCCATGATGGGGATGGTGTTTAATTTAGAAATTATATTCTTGGTCTTCTGTGTTGTATACTCACTCTATTAAAGTTCCTTTTCATTAAAGTCTTACATGTTTTGTCTTGATGCGACTAATGGCAGAATCTATTTAGAGCAGACAGGTTTGGGGATTCAGTTGCGCTCTTCTCCCTGTCTTGTAACAGTATGTAACATAGTGGAGTAACCAATGACAAACTCATGTCATTTATGACAACATGGATTGAACTGGAAGGGATTATACTAAGTGAAATAAGCAGAAGGAGAAAGATAAATACTGGATGATGTCACTTATTATGTGACAAACATTAAAACCAACCTGTTCTGAAGCATCCAGAAGGGGAGGAGGAGTAGCAAGAGAAGGGGAAGGAGTGAGAAGTGGAGGGAGGAGGAGGGGAGCACTATGGACTGTTGGTGTTTTGATGGTGGGAGAGCTTCTTGACCACACCTGAGACTAGAAATCTTACTCTGTCAAAATATTAACAAAGCCAGGGCTCTCCCTGCTGGTGCACAGCACTGAAGTTAGCAGCAGCTTCAGCACAAGTTCCATCCCTGCAAGGCAGACCTCTCCTGACCGCCTGCTGGGTCAGCTGCTCCCCTCAGCAATGTACTTCAGTCAGTCTGCCTCTTGTGCTCCCCACTCTTTCTCTGGTGAATCCTCTGGCCTGTACCCCAGTTCTGTATGCATAAATAAATACATCTTAAAAAAAATGCCAAACAAGGTACTTCCTTTCAAAAATAAAAAGAAATTTAAGTCTACCACTTAGTATATATTTTTTGTATATTCATAGGTTATGAATATTCATTGCAGTTTTGCAATGTTTAGGCATTTTTATCACCTACAAAAGAAATCCTGGCCATCATATTTTCTGTCTCTATTGATTTCCTTATCCTGGGTATTATTTATCAGTTGAGTCCTGTAATGTGTGGTATATTGCAAATGACTTCCACTTAGCATGTTTTCAAGGTTTATCCATGTTGCAGCATGTACTAGTACTTCTTTTTCTTACCAACTAAAATTCCATGGTATAAATTTGTCCATGTATGAGTTGATGAACTTTTGGACTGTTTACACTTTTTTCTATTATGAATAATGATACTACTAACATGGGGACACACGTTTGTGTGTGTGTGTGTGTGTGTACATGTGTTTTGTTTTCCTTGGGTTATATGGTGGAATTGCTGGGTTATATGGTAATTCTATGTTTAATATTTTGAGGAACTGCTAAGCTGGTCTACAGAGTGGTTGTGCCTCTTGATCTTTTGCCAACAATATACAGATGTTCTAAATTCTCTGTATCCTCTCCAACACTTGTTATTTTCAGTTTTTTTTAAGTAAAAGTAAACTTTAAATGTAAAGTGGAGTCTTATATGGTTTTGATTTGTATTTCCCAAATTCATAATAATGTTGAGTATCTTTTTGTGTGCTTATTGGTTATTTGTATACCTTCTTTAGAGAAAAGCCAACACAACCTCAAACTTAAAATTTTTTTTTTTGTTATATATATTTTACATAAGTGTTCATTTTTGTACAATGTGTGCTTTCTCCTCTTTTGTGTAGTAATCCCAGTATAATTCCCACCACCACATCACCTGTGCACCATCACCATAGTCCCTTGTGCTCCTGTTTTACCTCTCCTCCCCTGCAGCAAACTCAACCTTTTTTTTTTTTAAAGATTTATTTATTTGTTCATACAGAACTGGGGTACAGGCCAGAGGCTCAGGGTTGGCGAGAGGCTTCACCAGAGACAGAGTTGGGAGCAGAACAGGCAGATCAACGAAGTACACTGCTGAGGGGAGCAGTGGGCGGGTCAGGAGAGGTCTGCCGCACCATGTGGTCACCTCCGGGGCAGGCGGGAATCAAACTCATGGGGAAGTGGCTTTAGCTTCTCAGTGCTGTGCTTTAACACGCTGCTCCACCAGGGAGGGCCAAACTCAAACATTTTTTAGTGTTAAATTTTATTTAATATTTTACTCAACAGAAATTGTACATTAAATTAATAGATTATCTTTTATAGCTGTTTTAGGTCTACAGAAAATTAAAGTGTACAGAGTTATCTTAGCTTCTCAGTTTTTCCTGTTATTAACATCTTGCATTAATGTAGTACATTTGTTACAACTGATAACCCAGTATTGATACATTAGTATTGACTAATTAAGTACATCATTTACATTAGAGTTCATTCTTTGCATTGCTCTGTTCCATACATTTGACAACAGTATTATGTCATGTATTCATTATTAGAGCATGATAGAGAATAGTTTCTCTCTAAAAATTTCCTGTGCTTTGCTAGTTTATCCCTTCCTCTCCAAGACTTTGGCAACCACTAATCTTTTAGTTGTCTTTATAATTTTGTTTATTCCAGATTGTGATATGGGTGAAATCAACACAGTATGTAGCCTTTCAATCTGACTCCTTTCATTAAACAATATGTATCTAAAGTTCCTCTTTGTCTTTTCATGGCCAGTTCTTTTTTATTAATGAATAATTTCATATTGTGAAATAATGTTCTATCATATGAATTACCACAGTTTATCTATGTACCTTTTGAAGGACATTTCAGTTGCTTCTAGTTTGGGGCAATTATGAATAAAACTAATATAAACATTTGTTTTCAAGTTTTTGTATGGAAGTGAGACAGTCAGGTAAAGGGAATTTTGACCTAGTAGAATGAGTTGCCCCAGTCCTGTTTGACCAGTTGACTTAATCCTGGACTGGTAAGCTTTGTCCAAACAATTTTGTCCATCATGCTGACCATGAGGCACCAGGCTAGACAAAAAGCACTAGATCCTGACTAATAAGCTCAAAGTTTCCTGGAGGAAGAGGCTGTGAGCTCAACATGTGCAGTTGGAAAGTAACCTGTCTGCACATACTTGGGGAATAGCCCAAAGGCGGAGCAAGCTCTAAGGCTGTTCTTCTTCTCACTGCCTAGTGGACTTACTCTTGATAGCTCCTCTTAACTCCCTTCAGGGAACCAGACTAAATTCTCCTTTTGGAGAGTTTATCCAAAAAGGAGAATTTATCCAGATTCATGAGTCTCTAATAAAGCTTTGCTTGGTGCAACTATACTCAGAGGTCTCTGATGAGTTCTTTCCCTAGAGGACAAGGACTCACTCATTTTGGTTAGGGCCTGTGGCACACTTATGAGTGTAATTTCTGGGTCCTATGACATATGATTATACTATTTAGCTTTGTAAGAAACAAACACTTTTTTTATAGTGACTGCCCCATGTTGCAGTCTCACTAAACGGGAGTTCCTATTGCTCCACATTCTTATTAATTAATATTATCAGTTTTTATTTATTGTAGCCATTTTTTTTTTAAAGCTTGATTTTGTGCATATAGAACTGGGGTACAGGCCAGAGGCTCAGGGGCGGTGGGAGGCTTCACCAGAGACAGAGTGGGGAACAGAACAGGCAGATCAACGAAGTACACTGCTAAGGGGAGCAGTGGGCGGGTCAGGAGAGGTCTGCCGCACCATGTGGTCACTTCCGGGGCAGGCGGGAATCGAACTCATGCGAAAGTGGCTTTAGATTCTCAGTGCTGTGCTTTAACCCGCTGCGCCACCAGGAGGGCCCCTATTGTAGCCATTCTAATAGGTTGTAGTGGTATCTTGTTGTTTTTCCTAATGACATCTGATGTGGAACATAAATTCATATGCTTATTTGCCAATTGTGTATTTTCTTTGGGATGTTTTCAGATCTTTTGCTTATTTCTAAATTGTGTTACTAACTTTTTATTACTGGGTTGCAAGAGTTATTTATATATGCTGAATACTCATTTATGAGACACATGGTTAACAAATATTCTCTTATTCTGTGGGTTGTCTTCAGTTTTTGTTAATATTTGCTGCATTAAGGTTTAATTCTGTGTGGTGAAATGGTTAATCTAATTATTTGCATTCTAGATTGTTTTTTAAAAGATGTATTTATTTATACATACAGAAATGGGGTACAGGCCAGAGGTGCAGGGGCAGTGAGACGATTCACCATATTCAGAGTGGGAAACAGAATAGGCAGATCTGTGAAGTACACTGCTTGGGGGAGCAGTGGGAGATACAGGAGAGGTCTGCTGCCCCTATTTGCATTCTTACTGTTTGTATCCATAACAAGCAAGTGCAGAAACAAAAGTAAGCCAAAGGAAAAGCAGTAGAAACAGCAGAAGCGAGATGACTGAAGAGGCTGGCAGCCCATGGCGTGGGTGGAGCACAGGAAGGAGTAAAGAGGCCCTGAGACCAGGTTGCACCTCTTGCTGTGGGAGTAATGGACTCATGTTCCCATGGGTGGATCCTGTTTGCTTTGTGGCTCAACAGGTACCCTGGTTTCACTACCAGAATCCTGAATCCCCTCCTTACTGCAGAGGAGGCTAGCTACCTTGGCAAGGATCTTGCCTCTCACACCCCCATTCCTAATTTAATTTTTTTCTGAGAAAAATAACAAACATAAAAGGAGTATTTGCGACCCCGCTATAGAAAATACCAGAGCTCAGTATTACTCACAGGAAGGCACTCTATTTCATTCTTCTTTTCATTTCTCAACACCTAATACAAAACCTGGCACGAAGGCTTTCAATAAACATTCAGAGAGACACAGATGGTGCACTATGAATAGGGTCAGATGGGGAGGTTTCTTCATCAGTTGCTGGGAATGTTTGAATGCAAGGCGTCTCCGTCCAGTCTAGGAAAAAGTTGCCTCTGCTGAGAAGCAACTAAATAACTTCTGATTCCCACATGCAGGAGCTCATGGCTCCTGAGCTAGAAATGAGGGCCCCTGAAACTACTGCGGAGTGGAGAAACTATCAATGAGCTGGTGCCATTCTGGAGCTGCGTTCTTGGAGGGCGGGGAAGGAGGAGCTCGGCAAGCGGGGGCGGGGCCTCAGGGCCGGCTGGGCCAGTGGAGGCTGGGAAGCCGCCCCTCCTCCCCTCTCTGTGCTTCCACCTGGCTCCTCCCCGTGCTCACAGGCTCCCCTCCCCCTTCCCCAAGGACAGTGTGCTAGGAAGCCGTCGCTGCTGAAGAGAGCCGAGATCTAAAGGCAAGAGGGTCTGGGTCCAGGGACGAGGGGGGCTGCTGAGAGAGATTTGGGAACGAACGTATTAGGGGACGCGGAGGGGAGGATGCAAGCAACAGAGGGGAAAAGAAGCGGTGGAATGGCATCAGAAGCGGGAGGCCCGAGGGGGATGGGCAAGGCGGTCGTGAAGGATCCAAGCCCCTCGGGTCGTCACTCTCTTGCGCGCCCAGACCCATCCTCTAGATAGGAATGGATGGTGGGAGGTGCTCGGACCTCATCGCCCTTGGATGTTCTGGCGCTCTTGCCCTGGCACTCAGCCAGTTCAATCAGGGATCCTGTGATGCTGCCTTCCAGTTACTTCTGTCTCCTGCGTGCTTATCTGCACGCTTTTCTCTGTATAAATAGGTTTACTAGTGATCGTTTATTTCTACACCGTGTCATGAAGGATGCTTGTGTATTAAGCTGCGTGTGTTTTTGCGCCCTGTGCATTGTAATTGTTAGAAATGCAGGAGAAGCATTCGAGCCGTGTTGTGCAGGTCAGCACACCTAAGTTCCTGGTGTGATTCACTTTCTCCATCACGGAAGCCTTCAGAGATGAAAGATCTCTGATTGGTTTTTTGTGCAGAGATGAGCCCCCAGAGTGAAGGAGAACAAAAAACTCCAGGGGGAAAGGGATCATCAGTACAGGCATACATTTTGTTCTTTTGTGTCCAATTTTTTCTCACGCTCTTTGCACCAGTAACTTTCTCTTTTTTTTTTTTAAAAAAAACCGTATAACCTTGGACATGAACACTAGTTAAATATGAGTGTGTCTGCATGCATGCACGTTCTCTTCCTCCCACATCCTGTGATGTGTGCTTTTTCAAGTCCTCAGTGTGTTGGTGTGTTAGCAGAGAGAATCTAGAGCTGTTATCTCATCCAAGGTTGCTGTGAAATTTTCATGTATTTGCACATGATTTGTCTTGTTCATTAATTCTTTCAGCAAGTATTAAATTCTTGGTGTGTGCTAGATTTCTCTAGGCTGTGGGCGAGTTTTTAAAAATAAACATAATCCTTTCCTGGAGGAGTCTACTAGTTAGGGAAAATGACTTCAACAATCATATAGTCCAGTGGTCTGCATGCTTTTTCTGTACTGGACAGTAACTATCTTAGGCTTTGCCAGCTCTCAGTTACCCTTGCAATATTCTGCTGTTGTAGCACAGAAGTAGACATGGATAAGACACAAAAGAATGAGGGTGGTGTGGACTCTGCTGTGTGAATTTCATATAATTTTCATGCCATGATTTTTTCCAACAGTTAAGAAATGTAAACATTTTTTTCTTATTTTGCTGCCATACAAAAACTCAAGAAGGGCTGGATTTGGCCTGTGGGCTGTAGTTTGCTGTCCCCTGATTTAGTCCAACATTTTCAGTAAATAGGAAGCAATTAAAATATCACATGAAGTAGTAATTAAGCAAATGATCCAATGCCAAATAATATGTGACTAGAGGAGGTCTGAAAAGAAGCCCTCCTTGACCTATGAAGGCTTGAGAGGTTTAATTGTGCAGCCACTGGTCTTAAGTGATGGTGTGAAATAGATATTGATCTGTGGGAAGGAACAGGTGACCTCTGGAGAGGGCTCGGCATAGAAATAGAGACGAGTGAAGAATCTTTAGGGGATGATGGAGCTAAGAATTTATGGGAGCAAAGGTTGAAGCTATAGGTAAGGGCTAGATAGCAGAAGCTTGGAATGCTAATCCAAGATGCTTGGATTTTATCTGTCAAAACTGATTATATATAGTATGTGTGTGAATCTGTGTCTTTTAATAACACTGTGCATCATTGTGTATGTGTATCTTTATGGAGGTCTCAGTGCATGCTTTTATTTTGGCACATGTGTATATTTGTCTGTGTATGTGACCTATGTCTTTATCAGCTACCCTGACTTCCCAGATTCACAGCTGACACATGATCTGTCTTAAATGTCATCAGCTCCTCTTGTTCATGTGAGTGAAAACTCTCCACTGAGGCTTTAGAGACCTGTGTCTTTTCCATAGAAGTTTGTTTTGTCTGTAATAGAATGGAGTGAAACACCAGCAGAGTGGAATCAGCTGTTGTGGGCAGTTCAGGTGGAAAGAGGCAGTGAGGATAGGAAAGGGCAGTTAAGAAGGGAGAAAAGTAGGATTTGGCAACCACTTTGATTCTGAGTGTGAGGAGAAGATAAATTTTAAAATAATAGATTTTTTAGCCTGGTTAACTAGAGGAGGGATGATTCCACTGGCATTTTATTGAGAGAAAATATGTCTTGTATATTCCTTTTGGAAAAATAAGTCCTAAAGACAAAAATAGGTGTTTGCATGCCACATGTTTCTGCATGTGGCAGTGGTTTTGTGTTATTCTTCTTCCTTGATCATATGTAGTGTGAGAGGCAAGAGATAGATGCTCAGGAGGAGAGTCTGAAGGGATGATGAAAGACATGGGAAGTTCCTAACCATTTTTTTTTTTTTTAAGATTTATTTATTTGTGCATACAGAACTGGGATACAGGCCAGAGGCTCAGGGGCGGTGAGAGGCTTCACCAGAGACAGAGTGGGGAACAGAACAGGCAGATCAACGAAGTACACTGCTGAGGGGAGCAGCAGGCTGGTCAGGAGAGGTCTGCCACGCCATGTGGTCACCTCCGGGGCAGGCGGGAATTGAACTCATGCGGAAGTGGGTTTAGATTCTCAGTGCTGTGCTTTAACCCGCTGCGCCACCAGGGAGGGCCTCCTAACCATTTTTTGAGTGTGACAGCCTTAGCTCAGCCAGACTCTAATGGGCCTTTACAAGTGAATCTCCACTTCCAGTTCAATTCCAGTGTCAAACTATCCCCCAGCCTGCCTTTGCTTTTCTGCATTCATTTTGCTGTTTCTCAGTCAGTGCACAAACTTCTTATTCTACCCTTTGTAAGCACCATCTATCTCTAAGGATGCTTTTAGCCCTTAGGCTAACTTGGCTTTCCTCATTTCCCCCCCATCTCATTTCTGTGTGGTCAGCTGCCTTTCTCCTTGACCTTAGCTTATTCTCCAAATAGGTCCTAATTGAGGGGAGGGATCAGGCAGGGATTAGCCTGGACTTTTGCAGTGTTGGGCTCCATTACTGTGACATTTCAGCTTGTCACTCTGAAGGGTGTAGACTGTCTTCTGGAAGAAGTCCAGAACTCCCAGCCTGCAAGTCTAGATTTAGCGTGGTGGGAGAGCCTCGCTGAGGTGGCTCTTGCCAGTCTGTCAGTGCTATTTCTTGAGCTAATAGCACCTGCACCCTGCTGTATCTTAACTGACCATTATTTTGAATTCTAGATTGGATCATGACCCATGAAGAGCATCATGCAGCTAAGACCCTGGGGATTGGCAAAGCCATCGCTGTGCTAACCTCTGGTGGAGATGCCCAGGGTAAGGAGGGCCCTGTTTGGTGAGGGGACAACAGTCAGGCTAGGAGGAGCCCTTGGGTTTCTTGATGTCCTGTAGAACCAAACTATCCTCAGTGCCCTCCTGCTATGATTCATGCTGGAATCCTGGCTTGCCTAAAAATCTCTGTCATGTCTGAGTCCCTAAGTATTTTTTTGATTTTGTTTGCTCTGCTTTTTTAAATTTATTCAAATCTTCATAAAATTTCTTTCCAAGTTTCTCTGATGATTTGGGATCATTTTGGTCCTCTGGGACATAAAGGGCTGATGTTTTTCTCAAGCAACACTGGATAGAGACTAAAGTGATAAAATTGTTGCAAAGGGAGTAGGAAGATTCACTTCAAGTACATTGGAAATGGTGGAGAGACCCACAGTTGGTCTTTGGGGGGCTGTGACAGTAGTAGCTGTGTCGCGTAGTAGCTGTGACATTTGCAGAATGGCTGCACTTGCCATGAGCAGGCACCTCACTCTAGCACATTTCCTTTTTCCAAACACAGTTGTGCTTCTCTGTCTGACTCCTGGTCTTTCCTCCTTCCATCTCTTGAGCCCTTAAACAGTAAGAGCAACAGTTAATAAAGAGTGAGGGGAGGATGGATAGATAGAAAGCAAAGCCAGAGAGCACTCATCTCTGGGTTGAGTCCAAGAAATCCAGAAGTCAGAAAAATGTAATACCTGGGAAAATATGGGAGATCAAGGTGTGTGATCTTTTAAAAAAACTATTTCCCCCTCATTTGATGATCATGTATGTTCTCACTTATAGTATGTTGAGTCTCTTTGGATGGGCTACCAGGACATGGACTCAGTAATGAGAAAAAGAGGTCTCAACTAGCCTCCTCTTTCTGGGCTTTCCTAGGCTTTGTGCTAAGTACTCACTTTGTACAGATCCTGTCTTGTATGTTGCAAAGAAGTTGATTTCCTTTGGGAACTTACAGTTTGATGAGGAAAGCTATCATACATTATTAGAATTCTTATGTCAGGTGCATAAATACAAATTATGAAATGTGCCTTAACTGAGTACCATCCATTTATATAATGAAGTGAAAGCCCTTGGTTGGATATGCTGGGAAAACAGGAGAAGATAGATTTCAAGAAACTGGAACTCTTCATTCAAGTAAAGTACTTACATTAGTGTTTGGTACACAGTAACTTTTCAATAAATGTATTAATAAAATAATAATAAAAATAAAAGTAACAAATGAATTGTTGAGCAGCTGCTGTGCACTGGGCTGGCATAAGAGTATAGACAAGAAAAGTCACATGTAGCCTTTGCTTTTGCCATCCTGCCTGGTGTACTAATGCTGATGTCTGCGTGTTCCTGCTGTCTAATAAAGCCTACTTACTAAAGCCTAGAAAAGCTAGATTTTAAGTATATTTTGTACAATTATACTTGTATATGCTTGTACAATTATAATTACAGTATATTTTATGTAAATTTACCTGCCCGTATCTGTCAATCAACCGTCTATTGTGAACAGAGAATGCTAGAATGATGAAATGGAGAAAGGAGAGCACAGAAGTCTGAATTTAGCAGTAGTCACCAATTTGGAATAGAGAGTCTTAGATAAGACTGTAGAAACCTGATTTGGATTCAATCACTTCCCTCCTTTCTCCTGGAAAGAATCTCATGCCAATACCGAGTTCTTCAAAATAAACTCTGCATCGATCCTAAAACCTCGGCAGATTCAGGGGAGTGGGAATCTGCTAGGGAAAGAATAATGTCCAAGTAAGAGTCATGAAATTATGAAAGAGGACTTATCTCTGAAAAGGGAAAGGAATTGAGAGAGAGAGATGGAGGAGGGAAAGAAGAGCTAGAGTCAGACCGAGGATGTAACTTGGTCTAAGCAGCAGAGCTCTTCCAAGCTTCTGACCCTGGGCTCTGAGCTGCTTTTGTGAAGGGATGACCACCATCTGCTTTAAGAATCATCTTCCATGGAGACACAGGCTATTGATAAGCTGGTTTCTGGAGGGTCCAGCTGCGGTCAGTGGGATCCTGTTACCTAGGGAACAACAACTCCATTCCAGTTCAAATAGCATCACAGGTGCAAGTCAGTAGGGGCCGGGAGTGGTGGAGGATAAAATTCTAATGAGATGAAGAAGCAAAACAGAAAACTTCAAACTAAAATCCAGAGGTCTCAAGTGAGGGACTAGCTCAAATACAGAAGTCTCCTGACCAGTTTAATAGTCCCTAGTTCTCCTAGGGAGAGAGCACAGGAAGGCTTTTTCCCTAGAGTCTTTAGGCCATGTGGGAAAGTAAGATTGTGCCCTAATATCCATAGAAGCTACAGCCTTGTCTTGCCCTTAGTTTAGCAAAGCTAAAAATCTCTTAGAGTAGAAGAGTGACCAGCAGTCAAATATCCTAAGCTCTAAAACCAAGAACTCCAGGATGCTGGACTGATTAGATATCAAATCTTTATTCCCTTTTCAGCCCAGTAGCAGTCCTCATCTGCTAACCCACACTAAGCCAGTTAGCCCTCATAGAATCCGCATGTTCTGCTGAAAAGGACCTTTGCCATATGTGCTAGCCTTCTATCTACAGACAGGCAGTCCATTCCAAATGCAAGGTTATCCTAATGTAATCCTAATGATTGCTCTTTTAGGGTTGATAATTTTTAGTTACATATCCTTCAGAAAGTTCAAATTTAATAAATTCTTTATTCTTATTCACAAACATTTTTCTTTATGTTGGAATTAAATAATTTTAAAATCTTATTCTAAGTTCACTTAAGGTATAGAAAAATGCATTAGCATCTGGTTTCAAAGCTTAGTTACCACGTCACTTATTAATCTTTTCTACCTCCTTATAGAAAACCATCACCCATAGTTCTCAAAGCTTCTTCCCAACAGATTGTAATTTGAGATCCATGCTTTTGGTATTCTCCAGAGCCCCTTCTGGCTGTACCCAGAATACCCTAGGGTAGTGCTGGTAATATTATCCTTTGTGTTGCTTCTGAAGGGCCAGACAGCTGCTCCTAGAGAGTTATTTAAAGCAGCAGGGATCTGAGCCTTCCAGGACTGACCTGGGGCCCAAACAGGCCAATGAAATTGGATTGGAGAGCCCAAAGAATGACTAGGACACCTAGTATAAACTAGGTATTTGTTCCAGTCTGTTTCTAGAGAACAAGGACTTTGAGATAAGGTACAGAGAAACAATAGGGGTCCTAAAACTTGATTTCTGGAAAGCATCCAGATATCTCTACTTTAGAGGCAGGAAGGATGCCCTCTGAGGTTGAGACGGTGAAGGTCAGAAGAAGGGAGAGACAGGAGCATCTCCTCTTCTGCCCAGTGGGTTTGGTGGCCATTTCCTGCCTGCCATCTGTTGTTTGTTTTACACTTCAAGCTTTTTTTTTTTCTTCCCATCTTTACTTAGCACAGGAGAACAAAACATCATTTCAACCTATACATGTCAGAATAATATCTTTCCTTTATTTCCTAAGCTGCATACTCCAGAATGCCAAGTAGAAAATCCACTAGGCCTGTGAAAGTCTAGAAAATAAGTAAACAAGCAGTAGTTTCATTTTTCTGATCTTACCATGTTGACTTCATCTTTCCTAAAGCAGTGAGGGCTTTGCTTTGACTCTAATCTTGTTTTTTACAAGATACATAAACTTTCCCTAATGCTTCCAAAAAGCCCTTTTCCTGCACAGATTTATCAGTTCTGATAGGAACTTATCGTCTAGACTTGAGGGTATGAGCTTTCCGTCTAGACTTCACTGATGTCATAAGTAAGTTTTGACCTAGTTAGTGCTCACCAGTGAGCTCTTTTTGGCCAGCCCAACCTCTGGTCCTTGTTTTAGATCAAGTATAAGATGTATTTAGTACTATTACCACTCATTGGAACTGGCACCTTTGGCTTTTAGAACTGTAAAGTCTTGGTTCTCCTCTTGTTTACTTTGCTGCTTACTAGTTTTCTTCATGGACCCCCTCTTTCCATGCCCATCCTTTCAATACTGGTTTTCTTCAGGGTTCCATCCTTGCTCTTTTTCCTTCTAAATACATATTCTCTCACAAGCCTCTTCCAGTTCTGCATGGATGTTCTTATATCCAAATATGAATATATCCCACCGTTCCCTTCCCAAATTAAAACCTGGCTCGGCCCAGTAAATGGCACTACAGTATTACCTTTTGCCTAAGTCAACCCTGGGGCTTCTCCTTCTTCTCCCAAACCTTGACATAAGTGCTGATGCAGTGCAAATCCTGTAACATGTTCTCAGATGTCTCTCATCCAGTATTTCTTGGACAATGCCACTTTTGCAGTCTAGGTTCACCATTTTTTTTTTTAACCTGGGCTGCAGATGCCATAGAGTTCTGTGGTGACCTTCCTTTGTCGGCCCTCCACACTTGCTGCCAGAGTGAACATTTTGACATATAACCTTATCATATTTCTCCACTGTCAAAATTTTCCCAAGATTTTGCATTGTCTGCAACTTTTTGGGGGGTGTGGGTATCACAGACTACCTGGTGAATCAGATGAAAGCTGTGGACCTCTCAAAAGAAATGCCCCTGCCTACAAAACTATTCATTTAGTTTCATGGGGTTCATAGATTTTCTGGCATCCCTTCTCAGTGAATCCCCAGTCTAAACTGGGCTACAAAGTGAAAGCCAGACTTTCTCTCTGGGCATGCTGGTGTCTGCCCACTTGTATAGGTTGCTCCTTCATGTCTGCATTTTATTCTGTACAATACTGACTTGCCTCAGGTTATTTCTTAATCCTCACCTTTTTGCTAATTCCTTGCCTAGAACACTCTCCCCTAATTGTCCACCTGACAGAAGAGTTAAAAGAAAATTGTCCTTTAGGTCTTCGGACAAATGTCTTTTCTGTATAACTTCTCTTGACTTCCTTCTGACAGCTTAGATGCTCCTTTCCTTTTAAATACTGCACTTTGTGCTTGTCATCTTCATGGAAACTTGTGGTATAGCCATATTATAGTTCTTTACAGGAGAGCCATTGCCAAGCCCCTTATCTTAGTATACCCATACTCGCTGTTGTTCACCGCTGTGGCACCAGTGCCAGGAACATGATAGGTGCTGAGTATACATTTGTGCAGGGAGTGAATGGAACTTGAATTTGACTTGGCGCTTACAACCTTTGTCAGTCTGCAAAATAAAATAAAATCAATTAAATTAAATAAAAAATAAAATAAATAAAATAAAATAAACCAGCCTTTCTCATCTTTTAATTCTATTCCATTTCATATAACTTTGGAAGATGCAATAGGTTGTGATGATTTAGGTCTGCACCTGTAGAATTTTCCACTTACTGGTTTTTCTGGTACTTACAGGCATATGTTATTTCTCCAAGCAGGGTTAACAGCTACGTGACTAGATTTTAAATTGGAAAAACAAACAAACAAACAAACCAAGAAGAAGGTACTAGAGTATCTGAAGGAGAATGGCTAAAATTGTTCATGAGATGCTAACCCATCATGGCTCTAAGGTTTCCTTAGGCAGTGCTCTTAGCCCCTTTTTATTTTAGGCAGGGTTACCTGTGTCCAGACCCAGCAGTGTTTTCCGTCTCCACCAGTGCAACACAGCATGGTCATGCTCGGCACATGGGGGCCAACTTGTAGCTCCCACTATGTGACAGCTTAGCTCCATGCAAGATTTCGTGTAGAAGGCAAGGAAAACCTAGTTCTGTCACTGAGATTAGTAGGGCACAGCATGAAGGTCAGCAGTCTGGTTTAGATATTTCAGGACTTACATGCAAATCTGAGTTTTCTAAGGATACTAACTCTGAGCTTGACCTCTTTGAGCTTCAAATCTGGAAAATGGTGGCAACTTTTAGGTTGTGGATTAAAGGTGGGATGTTTGACAAGCATTTCTCAGTGTCTAGCACACAGTTTTCATTCAAGATGATGATTCCCCAAGGAATTCCTTATAGGAGAGGTCTTAGGAAAGACGAGATTTGGAAGGGAGGGAAAGTAAAGAGGGGTATCTGGAGCTACATTAACGCTAAACATAGTGATTCAGTATTAGTGGGGAGATCAGACACTTGCAGAAGAGGAACATTCTAGACTCAGAAAAAAGCCTAATAAGAGTGCTGTCTCATGTTGGAGTCTAGGGCGGCTTCTTTTGGGGAGTCACCTCTTTCAAAGTCTTTCTTCTTTCTCTGTAGGTATGAATGCTGCTGTTAGGGCTGTGGTTCGTGTTGGAATCTTTACTGGAGCCCGTGTCTTCTTTGTTCATGAGGTTGGTTCTCTAATTTGTTCTCCCTCATACTTTCTCTGTTTTCTGCATCACTTTCGCCTACCTCACCCCCCACCCCTTTTCCTTACCTCTCAGTTACAGAGTTCTGTTGGATTTGGCTATTCCTTTCCATGAGTCACTCCTGCCTCCTCCTATGATATTTCTGCATCTGTCCCCGCATATGCAGATGGGCTTCTGTCTTAATCCAAGGCAGAGAGGAATGCTGGAATGAGTTAGCATTTCACTGTGAATTTATATATCCAGAGAAGAACTTAAAGAGGAAAGAATCTCACATACTTCTGTCATTTTATTTCCTGAAGTTCTGAGTCCTCTGTTCTCTCTCTCAGTTCTCCCTCATTCTTTGTCCACTCTCCTTCTTGTAAGGACTATCTATCTGCCTATCTTCCCTCAAGTTTTATAGTCTCTTATCTTTTCAAGTCATGTTTCTGGTCCTACATCCCTCTCGTCTTCCTTTGTTATCCAAACCATCTGTTACCTAGTTCCTAGGAAACAAACTAGAGGAAATAGTGTGAGTTAAAATGAGAGGAATTAAGGGGGGTGGGGCCGGAAGTGCACGGGATTATGGTGGTGGCACACGGGTGACTTGGTGATGGGAAACCTGTGAGGATTACAATTGAGATGGAAAGAAAAAATGTACAAAATGATGTAAAAATAAACTATTATAAAATAAAAAAAAATTAAAAATTAAAAAAAAATGAGAAGAATTAAAACTAAATTTGGGCCTTCCCTGGTGGTGCACTGGGTTAAAGCACAGCACTGTGAAATTACCGCAGCCACTGTAGCACGAGTTCAACCCCGGGCCAGGGAGGTGACCCACATGGTGTGGCAGACCTCTCCTGACCCACCCACTGTTCCCCTCAATAGTGTTTTTTAGTGCATCTGTCTGTTCTGCTCCCCACTTTGTCTCTGGTGAATCCTCTCACCCCCCACATTTTTGACCTGTACCTCAGTTCTGTATGCATAAATAAATCTTTTTAAAACAACCCTAAATTTGGGGATTTAAACATCCTGATGTTTCAAGAATGGGAATTCTAGAAGAGAGTATTGAAAAGCTGCGACCTCCTTCCTTGAACTGTGATGAATCTATAGTCATCTCCCGAGCATCCATCACTAAAAACAGGAGGTGCTTAAGGCTCACAGACCTTCTTCCCAGTGATCCTGTGTTAATCCTGGGAGTTCAGGGGGAAGCCTAGCAGAGGCTGAATGATATAATATGCTCCACAGGGTTATCAAGGCTTGGTGGATGGCGGAGACCACATCAGAGAAGCCACCTGGGAGAGTGTTTCGATGATGCTACAGCTGGTATGTTCCAGAGAATGCTTGCCCCATATTTGTCTTGCCCTTGTCTCATACCACTCTGATTTGGGCTCCCGATTTCCCAGATTCTTTGTCATGTGGTTTAATGACAGGGATTCAGTGACAAGTGAGGGGCTGTGTTTGCTCTTTGCTCTTTGCATTTCAAACGTCCTAGTTCCCTGGGGCAGTATAGGCTGGGGGTGTGATCACAGGACAGTCTGCTCTTTATAGAAAGGTCACAAGAACCACATGGGGAACTGGCATGATAGCAGGTTCTGCTCTGGGCTCAGAGATGGTCTGACCCTGAAAATAACCTTACTGGAGAGCCAAAAGGAGAGCTGAACCTGCCAGTGTGCATGTGATGGTGATGAGGCAAATCAGGCTGTTTAAGAGAGGAAAGGACCAAGAGAGTCTTTCAGAAAAAAATGAAGATCACTCCAATTATATCCCATCTCTTTTTGCTACTTTATTTACCCATTTTCTGACTTACTGAAAAGTCAGAAAATTACATTTGTGCCTATATTCTTTTCTTCCCTGAAAATTCATGGGAAGAGAATAAAACCCAGGGTTTAGTGGGTAGTCCCTTAGCATTGGTGCCCAAGACTGAGAATGAGCCAAGATCAGGATCTTCTGTCAATATCCTCAAAGTCATGGATGCCAGGAATTTATATGATCACTGAAAACCCTAAATATATACTTACCTCACTTGGGGCATCTACAAACCCCTGGCAACTTAAGCCTTTCTGTGCCTAGAGCCATTTTACCTGTTTATACCTGGCTCTTCCACTAGCTCCATCGGTCTCAAGGAGCAAAGGAGGGATTGGCAGTGCCGACTTGCCATTGGAAGTCTTCCTTGTGAGAGAGGGAAACAATACTAGCGACACTTGGGAATGAACTCCCAGTAATAGTTTAGACATAATCCAGCAATGTCAGTTCATGAAGGAAACTTTCTAAAAAGAAAAGTCACTTTTCTTCTTGTACTTTTAAGGTGTTCTCCCTGAGGATAAGCACTTAGATGACAGCCCTCAATAAAATGAGTTGATTCCTGCAAAATAGAGGAAGGACCCTGATATCTCAGTCAGCCTCACAGCTGACCATAGGGAGCAACTTCCTAGGGATCCACATGGTTATGGGAACCCGTCACAATATAGAAACTGTCTTAGCTGTTGAACCCAAATTTGACTGTGTCAGTTGAGAAGCTGACTTCTGCCTCTTCCCAAAAGGGAGGCACAGTGATTGGAAGTGCCCGGTGCAAGGACTTTCGGGAGCGAGAGGGAAGACTCCGTGCTGCCCAAAACTTGGTGAAGCGTGGAATTACCAATCTGTGTGTTATTGGGGGTGATGGCAGCCTCACTGGGGCTGACACCTTCCGCTCTGAGTGGAGTGACTTGTTGAGTGACCTCCAGAAATCTGGTAAGACGTTGTTCTCATCAGTATTGTGTGTCTACACACATGCTCCTGATCCCCCACTAGAGAAAGTCATTGTCCAGACACAAGTAGTCAGCCTTTGCCCTCCTTCTGCCCCTGCTCACAATTCCCATTGGCTATGATTCCTTCTCTCTCCAGTGATCTGTTCTCTAGGCATACTGGGTTCCTCACCCAAGGGCTTCTGGTTTGCTTCCCATGTTAGGTAAGATCACAGCTGAGGAGGCCACGAAGTCCAGCTACCTGAACATCGTGGGCCTGGTGGGCTCCATTGACAATGACTTTTGCGGCACTGATATGACCATTGGCACTGACTCTGCTCTCCACCGGATCATCGAGATCGTAGATGCCATCACCACCACTGCACAGAGGTTAGGGGGCTGGGAGAAGGCGGTGCAGGAAGGTGGCAGTTGGGACAGGCTAGAGGATTGGGGGCTAGATAAGGTTAAACTGTTTGAGTTCTAGTGAATAGTTTTCAGGCTAGAATATGATTTTTAGCCAAGAAATTATCCCTAAAGCACTGAAAGTACACTTTCTAGGTGCTATAAGGTTTGCCTCTTGCCTCTGTCTGGCTCACTGTCTAAACTTGTAGCTGTAGGGCTTTAATATCTTGGAGTCTACTAAATCATTAGTGTCTAAACCAAAATATATTGGTACAAGGACTTTCCACACCTAAGCTACCCTTCCCAACGTAATTATAGAAATTAGAGAGAACACCCCTATCCTGCTCAGAGGTGAGGGCACTTGGAGCAGGCAGCATGGGAAAATGGCATGCAAGAGGATGACAGTTCACCTCAAAGCAGCCCTCAACGGTTTTCTGCTAGTCTAGTTCTCTCCTCTTCACCTCCTTCCCCATTTACTGCTCTGTGTTCTCAGGCCTAGGAAAGCACTGTGAAGCTCAAGCATATCCCCTGACTCTTCTGGTCTTTCAGTAATCCCACTAGAAGGCCTCGCAGCATAACTGCATCTCCCAGAGAAATTACGTGGCCTCATTGTGGGTGATGGTTTGGCCCTGGGGACACTTGGACTGTGTAACCTTATGTCTGTTTCTTGCAGCCACCAGAGGACATTTGTGTTAGAAGTGATGGGCCGGCACTGTGGGTAAGATCCCCATCTTGACTCATTATTCTCAGGATCCACAGTACCCCTTTCCTCCTGCCTAGAGAGCTTTCTCACATGTAGCAGCAGATCGGGGTGCATATGGTCCTCTTGGTGTGGTTCTCTTTTTCTGTCTCACTTCTCCCTGTGCGCATGTGAATGTGTGTGTACAGGCATAGGCACACGTGCTGTGTGAAAGCATAAGACACTGCGCCAGACTGGAAGCTCGTGTGCAGATGAGAAGGTACTTTTGTGGGAGAGGCTCAGACTAAGGAAGCTGTCGCTATGGTGTCTTCTCAGGGAGTTCTCAGTGCAGGAGCGAGTGGATTCACAGACCTTCAGCCAGCTAGGGGAGTGGGTGAACTTGGTGGGTGTTGGTGAGGCTTTTGTCCAGTGATACTTCTGGGTCTCATTTCAGCTACCTGGCCCTCGTCACCTCTCTCTCCTGTGGGGCTGACTGGGTTTTTATTCCTGAATGTCCACCAGATGATGACTGGGAGGAACATCTTTGTCGCCGGCTCAGTGAGGTATTTATAACCTATTTTGCCCTTAAAACACCCTCACCCTCTTGTATTGATGATCCGTTTCCCATCCATCAATTTTATTCCATTGATCATTTTTGTTTTTGTTCTTGTTCAGACAAGGACCCGTGGCTCTCGTCTCAACATCATCATTGTGGCTGAGGGTGCCATTGACAAGAATGGGAAACCAATCACCTCAGAAGACATCAAGAATGTTAGTATGAGGAAAGCTGGAGGGGCCTTCACCACCATACTCAGCTTTGGTCCCATTCTATATTGATTTCTGAGTCTCCCCAAAGTCCTTCTGCACATGTCTTCCCAGGTTTCCTGCCCCCTGGTTTTCTCCTACCCAGTAGGAGATAAGAGGCTAAGTCATCCATGGTTTAAGTCTCTGCTTTTTTCTCTTCTTGACTCTCAGTTTCCTTCTCACTGTCCCTTTCTGGTCCCTTCAGCTGGTGGTAAAGCGTCTGGGATATGACACCCGGGTCACCGTCTTGGGGCATGTGCAGCGGGGTGGAACACCATCAGCTTTTGACCGAATCCTGGTAAGTCACGGAGATCTGCCGCTCAGCAGGTCAAGGGCTCAATCCCCTTGGCCGTGCCTCCTGCCATTATTCTCTGGGTTGAATAGACCCTTGACTCTATTCCCTGCAACCAAGAGTTCTCTTCTATTACAAAAAAATGATAGGAAACTCTATGTTTCTCTGATGATGAGACTGGTATGGTAGACCTTTGGGTATTAGTAAAATTATGAGTATGAATCCTCTTACCCAATTTTCAGTGGAAGAGAAAGTTTGTCAGTAAGAAGGGCATTTATTAAGCCAAAATAACCCTTGATTACTACAGTGGACATGCTTCTGGAACTAGGTAATATTTATGGGGTTTTTATGGGAAGAGGACAAAAAGTCATCAAACTTTAGATGAAGTTGGTGTAGAGAGGTAAAACCCAGTAAGTCCTTGACGGCCGACCTTAATTATGGAACTCAACCCTGTGATTTGAAAAGGACCTTGAGTGCATTGGGTCTTCAGGCCAAGCTAAGACAGAGAGACCTTAACCAGATTATCTTTCCTCCCTGGCCCTCTGTAGGGCAGCAGGATGGGGGTGGAAGCAGTGATGGCACTTTTGGAGGGGACCCCAGATACCCCAGCCTGTGTGGTGAGCCTGTCTGGTAACCAGGCTGTGCGCTTGCCTCTCATGGAGTGTGTCCAGGTGGTGAGTACTGACCACAGCCCCATGCCCCCAACCCCCAACCCCAACTACTGATCTCTTGAGCAGTAGTTTATGGGGCATAAGACTGACTTCCAGGGCTACTGGGACAGGGGCAGTTGGAAAGGCTGCGCCGTGTAGTTGGAGGTATGTCGGGAGAGAACAGAGACCTGTTGCAGGAGCTTACCCTCACACTAAGCCTCATTTCACTCATTTATAGAATGAGACAGTATCTTAGCTAGTATTGACAACCAATTTCTCAACATATGGGACCTCATAATCTTTCCTCATGTCTTTATTGGAAGAGAAATGCAGTATCTTTCCACACTCTATGAGAAGCAGGGGAACATTATTAAGGTTTAACTGAGAAGCTTGTATCTCTCTGATTTCTATCTTGAACAACATGATAGAACCAATAAGAGGTTATTAATATTCACCATGGGAATTGTTACAAGGATTGGAGAAAAGATAGGTAAAAGGTCTGGTGCAGTCTGGAAAATGCCCAATGTTCATGTACCTGTGGCTTTTATTATAGAGCAGTCACTCTTCCAGATGTCATAGAATGAACATTGTGGCTGGGAGCTCAGATACTTGACCTGATTCTCAGGGCTGGTCTAAGTGCTCCAGACTGGCTCCCTATCCTCTGGGGAGTTTGCTTCTCTGTCAGATGCGGTAGTCTATGACCTACATACCAGCCAGGCAAGCTCCAACCTTGCTTGGAAGTTTGCTTGGAACTCTAGAAGTCCCAACGCTAAAGCACCGACTCAGAGAGCAGAAATCGGTGGTCAGAAAACACATGTCAGAGATCAGCCCTTCTTCCTAACTGGTTATTTGCAGGATCTTCTTCATTTATTCACTAGTTTAGAGATGACTTTGAGGCTGGCCATCTTTGTATGGAGTGGGGGAAGATGCTATTTGATCTGTAACATTCCTCTACTATGCCCACATTTTAATAAATAAATCATTAAATAGCTCTTTTCTTTTACTATACGTTACTCAGAAAATTAAGGAAAAACATAGTTCTGTGGAAGTTTGGGGGGAATAGAAAATATGGGGTACAGCATCTAGTCAGAAGCCCAGAAGGCAAAGTGTCACCATGGGATGAACATTCAGCTGTGAAAATCCCGTGTGGAGCTATGACTACTCTGCCCTTCTTTCAGACCAAAGACGTGACCAAGGCCATGGATGAGAAGAAATTTGATGAAGCTATGAAGTTGCGAGGCCGGTGAGGAAGTGACCAGAAAACAGAATTAAATATTGAACTTAAGTGAAAGGTCTACATAGCCCCAGACCCAGAATTTGAGCTTTTGTTCCTTTTCTTATTATCTCTGCAACCATTTTTCCCCCAAAGAATTAACTCTGAGGTGACCAGGAGATGGAATGTCCTCCAAGGATGTCCTCCCTGGCATCTATCCTTTACAATTTATTATTTTTGTATGTGGCAGCTAGTTACATGTTTGTCTAGGGAAGGGGCAGTCTCTTGTGCTAAGTTCTGTCCCTGGGAGAAGCATGGCAGGGAGGGTCTGATGAATTAGTGACTCCTTTTGTAGTGCCTGCCCCATTCTTGCTGTGACCCAGTTATTTCCTTAGAAGTTTGCCATCTGGAATGTCATACTGGGAGCAGAGCTTCAGACCAGAGGCCCTTGGTCTGAATGCACAATGACCTTGTATTTTTTACAGGAGCTTCATGAACAACTGGGAAGTATACAAGCTTTTGGCTCATGTCAGGCCCCCAGTATCTAAGGTACTGGCAATTTACTCTTTCTGCTTGACCCTTTCCTTCCCTTAGTCTTGCTTTGTGAAGTGCTTCTGGTAAACCATATGACCTACTGGCCTTGCCAATTTCTTGCCCCCAGTGTAACCTAGATGCTAAGTTGCCAGTTCTACTAAGTAAGATGCTAATCTTGTTCTCAACATGCCCTGAGGTCTCTAGTCTCTTAGAGCTCTAACCTAAGACCCACATCTAACTCAGGGTTGACAAGATAGCATGCAAAGAATGACAAAGATAGTTTATGTGTCATTTTCTCTGTGCAAATATTGGAATAACAACATTTAAATGTATCTAAGCTACTTCCTCCATCAGAAGAGTAGTTTATAATGCTTATTAAACATGCAGATTTCTGGGTCCCTCCTTCCGAGGACTCAGATCTGGGGTAAGGGCGAGGAATATGCTCCCTAGATAGATCTGATATGCATGGTCCAAGGATCGCATTTCAGGAAGGCTGCTTTGGAAGGTCTCGTCTTCATTTTATAGCAATAGCTGGGATCAGGGACAGCAGCTATGGTTATTGATTTGTGATAGAGAATTTTGCTTCCATAGTATGAGGGAACCCAGCTGCACTGGCACTCCCTCAGAGAGGGGTGTATATTATCAGAGGACCATCAGGGACACAGCTTCTCTTACTGACCTGTCCTCCTTCCCATGCTGAGGTTTCTTGCCCTCTTTCCCCTGATTCCTCTCTGCTTCCCTTATAGACTGCTTTGCACACAGTGGCCGTGATGAACGTGGGGGCCCCGGCCGCGGGAATGAATGCTGCTGTTCGCTCCACTGTGAGGATTGGCCTCATCCAGGGCAACCGAGTGCTGGTCGTGCATGACGGCTTTGAGGGCCTGGCCAAGGGTCAGGTATGGGGATGAGAAGGCGGGCGGCACTGCCCTGGGGGCCAGAGAGTAGTCAAATGGATACGTATGTAGCAGGGGTGACTTTTCCATTATTTTTCCTTCCTCTCCTCCTCACTACCTTTCTCTCCTGTCTCAGGGTTGGAGCAGTAGTAGATATTTAATGTTCAGGCAGTAGCAACAGACAAGTGCCACTGAAATTAACTCTTTGCAACATACCCTGTTTAATTCTCTGTCCCAAGTCTTTGTACAATACCTTGCACCTGCTCAAGTAGGTGATTGATATTTGTGAGTAAGAAATACAAATGGAAGAAGTTCCATGAGAAGGGAAAAGCTGGTGGCCCATGTTTGTCCAGTAGGGGGTATCTGCTGGGGTGGAGCCCAAGAGGTAGTGCCACTCACACTGTCTGCTGGAGTGTCAGCCCCTTGCTGATCTGTGTGGCTTTCCCTTTCAGATCGAGGAGGCTGGTTGGAGCTACGTTGGGGGCTGGACTGGTCAAGGTGGTTCTAAACTTGGGACTAAAAGGCAAGTGGCATTTCAGGAGAAACTTCCTCTAGCCACCCCTTGAACCGTGGGCATCAGTTCATTAGGTTAGGTGTGGGTTCTTTACCCCCAAGCTCATAGTTGCTTCTGTGAGGAAGATGTGCCCATCTGAACATCTTGTAGCACCTCTGGCAACTGAAGGGCCCCATATGGCTCCTTGGGCAGGGGTGAGAGCTGGATTAGGGGCTGGGAAACACTTCCAGAATTGATCAAGTGCCTTCTAACTCCAACTTTTCTCTCTTAATTTTTATGTCACTCCTCCAAATTTGTTACCTCGGTGCCCCCCATCAACTAGAACACTGCCTAAGAAGAGCTTCGAACAGATCAGTGCTAACATCACAAAGTTTAACATTCAGGGCCTTATCATCATTGGAGGTTTTGAGGTGAGTGGCCCTACCATTTCTTCTCTTTTCCTCATTTCTTCTTTTTTCCAACTTGCTCTCCCTGCTCTCATACCTGCCCCTGCCATTCTTTTCTCAGGCTTACACAGGGGGCCTGGAGCTGATGGAGGGCAGAAAGCAGTTCGATGAGCTCTGCATCCCCTTCGTGGTCATTCCTGCTACAGTCTCCAACAATGTTCCTGGCTCAGACTTCAGCATCGGGGCTGACACGGCGCTCAACACAATCTGCACGGTGAGGGCCTGTCCCCCACTCCCGCCGCACTTTCTGGTCTGGGCCGAGTGTGGCTAGAAGGGGAGCTACTTTTTGTACCACCCAAAGGATGGCATGTGAATAATGCTTCTTTACAGGCATTCACACAGACTCTATTGAGCCCTATATACAACATTCCTTCTCTTCACTGTGGCACTCCCCGAATCTAGAAATGCATCCATACTCTGCTTATGTTTTTTCCATTCTAAAGTCATGCAGCCTCATTTCCCTACTTTTGAGCAGCAGAGGAAAGAACATCAACCATATGTTTGACAAATGTGTTTGCCCGCCTGGGGAGGCAATAGTCCCAGACTTGGGCTGTGCAGGGAAGGGACAGGAATCAGACCCCTGCCTCGTTTCTAATCATGATGCACCATTTTGCAGACCTGTGACCGCATTAAGCAGTCAGCCGCAGGCACCAAGCGCCGGGTGTTTATCATCGAGACCATGGGCGGCTACTGTGGCTACCTGGCCACCATGGCAGGGCTGGCAGCAGGGGCTGATGCCGCCTACATTTTTGAGGAGCCCTTCACCATCCGAGACCTGCAGGTAAACAGCAGCTCAGAGCCTGCTAAGTAGCTGTCGCCCTAGTCTATCCCTAATGCCATGCTGTCCCCCTGAACTGTGAGAGCTCAAGGAGCAGAGCCATTGGTGAGACTGGCAGGAGCACCACGCGGGCCTCCTCCAGTGTGACCTGGGGTGGGCTGCCTGTTGTTGGGCTTGCCTTCTGAAGCATGGAGTGGTGTAAAGTGTAGCCCTTTACATGTGTCTTTTGCAAATTTATCTTCACAACACATGGAAGGGAGATAATATCTCCGTTATTATAGATGAGCAAGGTTCGAATGCTTTTCTAGACTCATGAGTAGGTGGTTTAAATGATTGTGAAAGTTGATGACTTTTCAACTAGATCACACCACCCCTTCAGATTTCCCTTGTTATCAAAGCATATTCTTTTTGTTCCATTTTTGATAGGGATGCCTTTTCACCTCTGGGGTGGGCTCTGACTGCTCTTACACAGATGGATCATATATTTCTGATATTCCAAGATCCTAGTTCTCTGGAAAAAGTATAGGGGGGCAGGCTGAGGGAACTCTGTAATATAAGAACCTAGCTAAACCCTGCTAAGAATGGAGGGGAGAAAATGTACAAAATGATGTAAAAATAAACTTTTGTATAAAAAAAAAAAAGAATGGAGGGGAGAGGCAGCGTCTTTTACCCGCTACTCAAAGCCCACAGGAAGAAACGGATCCTCCCAGGTAAATCACTGTGTACATATTAGCCTCCTGTTTAAAGATGAGCACTGAAGGCAGAGTTGGCTCCTGAGGGAAAGAGAGCCAGAAACCTTTGGGAGGGGGTGCAAAGATGCTGAAGACTGAGTTATTAGAACACTCTCTGACTTTCTTCTAGTTCTGTCTATCTTACTTGGAGTGAGACAGAATTTCTGAACTGAGCTTCTTAAATGGATTATGCACAGTTCAGACCCTGGACTGAAAACAACTCTCTTCTATGTCCCTCTCCCTCCTCAGGGAGCCTGGTGGGATAGAAGAGCTCTCTGCCTTACCCAACCTTGTCTGTGCCCAGGTAGGCTTAGTATTTACTACTTCCTTTTCAGGCAAATGTTGAACATCTGGTGCAAAAGATGAAAACAACAGTGAAAAGAGGCTTGGTGTTAAGGTATCGCTGTGGCTTGTTCCTAATGCATCCTGGGGTATCCTGGGGAATCTGTGGCAACAGAGGGAGGGGACCTGACCATGGGAGGAGACAGGAAAGGGAAGAACAAAGTTTATAAGGCAGAGAGATGGTGGAGGGATGGGGAGACAAGTGGAGTCACAGACTTTTCACTTCTGCCTACAGGAATGAAAAGTGCAATGAGAACTATACCACCGACTTCATTTTCAACCTGTACTCTGAGGAGGGAAAGGGCATCTTTGACAGTAGGAAGAATGTGCTTGGCCACATGCAGCAGGTAGGGAAGACACCCCAATCATGCCTTTTGTGAGATCCCCCGAAGCCCTTGTGGCTCGCACTGGCCTTGGGCTGCTGGAGTCTTAGTGCTACCTTAGAGAGGAATTAACATATCTTTTCTCTGGAAAAGGCCTTAGCTATTACATAATCCACATTTTTCATTTAGGGCAGGGTTTCTCAGTCAGCACTGTTCCTTTTGGGACTACATAGTTTGGGTTGGGGTGACTGTCCTGTGCATTTGTGGGATGGTGTGGCAGCATTCCTGGACTCCATGCAGGCCAGTAAAACCTCCCTTTTGAGTTAAAGCAACTAAAATAATGTCTGTAGATACTGTTACTGTACGTTTGGGGGCAAATCGTCTTCAGTCGAAGACTGCTGATTTAGAAGAAGGTGAAGCCCAGAGAGAAGTAATTTTCTTAGGTCTGCTTCCCAGTTTGGATGAGAGCCAGTTACCTACCCTGGTGCCCTCCCCATACTCGCTGCCTCCCATGGGTACATGTTGAATGCCTGCCATGGATGTACCCTGTGGACATTGAATGAGTATAGCTGTCATCGGGCTCCATTTCCACTCACGGGTTTCCTGCGGAAACACACATTCAGTCTTCCTACTCCCCACCTTTCTCTAGCTATAGTAGGCCTCTCTCACAGATGGCACCAATGGTCTGAGGCCTTCTCTATCCCAAACATCCCTAGCTGATGCCTCTTAAGCACCAACCCTTGACCTTTATTTCCTCACAAGTGAATTCCCAAAACCTGTTTGATGAGTTTATCAGCCCTTGCAAGAATGGGGTACTATTGGACAAAGGATGAAGACCTATTTTCTGGTTTTCCTTCCTTCTTACTTCCCCATTTACTTTGTCTTAGTTCAGAGAAACCTGTATAATGTTTTATATTATTCAGCAGTGCTACAAGGGCACCTATATTGAGTCACAGGAATACTTTGTCCCACTGACTGACAGGAGCTGCTCGGGTTGAAGAGAGGCAGGGAATTGCCTGAATGGCCACTAGGATTGGGTGTAAATGAAAAAGGTCTGGCAGCTCCCAGCTGGGAGTGTCAGTCATGAGGTCGCTCACCCCTTTATTTCATTAGGTTCTCTTCTAACTGACCAATGGCCAGGTATGCTGGGCAGGCATCCTGGCTCCCAGTGCATTTTAGGATTCCCTTTTATAGTTAGACTTCTGGATTCCTGTTTTTGGTTTTAAACCCAGGGCCCATTCTTTCCTTTTTCTCAGTGTATTCAGGTATCTCTGTTACTTCTTTAAAGTCTTCCCCTCTGTAATTTTTGTGATTCTTTTTCTAGGGTGGGAGCCCAACCCCATTTGACAGAAATTTTGCCACTAAGATGGGTGCCAAAGCTATGAACTGGATGTCCGGGAAAATCAAGGAGAGTTATCGTAATGGTAGGTGGGGAAAGACAGTGAGTTCCCTCCGTAGGTGCTGGTTCCCTTGTGCCAAAGCTGATGGAGTATATTGTTGCAGGACGGATCTTTGCCAATACCCCAGACTCTGGCTGTGTCCTAGGGATGCGTAAGAGGGCCCTGGTTTTTCAGCCTGTGACTGAGTTGAAGGACCAGACAGATTTTGAGTGAGTACATCTTCCGAGAGTAGTTCTGTTACAGGGCACCCCAATGTGAATTGGGTTGCCTGTCTGTGGGTCTTCACCCGTGCGCTTACGGACGGGTATTGTATTATGGACACACTCAAAAGGTTAAATAATGGATTTATTTATAAGGAGAAAGGTAAAGGAATAACCCAGGAAAAGAGGGAGAGAAACACAGGTTAACTAGGATGTCCTACCAGTTCTGCTGACTTTGACTCCACCGGCACGCTGAAAACCGATTGAGCGCCAAAAACGATCAGCTGTGAACCACCAGGTCCCCCCAGAGCCCACATGTCTGGTTTTATCCCAACCTGCTCAGCTCTGCCCTCACGTCCTGGCGTGCTTCTTCTTGGTACTGGTGGGATTTGAAATTCCAGCATCTGGAGTAGGGGCAGAGTCCATGAAACCTGTACCTGTTACAGTTGCTCCTTGGTAGTCTCAAGATCTACTCTTCCCAACCTGTTCATGGTCGTCAGCCTTTTTGCTGTAGGAATAACAAACACATCCTGCCTTACCTATTTCAGAGCTGATGCACATGCCCTAAATCCAGCCTCTTCCTTGGGCTCAGTTTCTTCCCATTAGCCTTCGGTAGTTGATTGGGGAGCTAAAAGCTGAAATCATGATGTCATTCCTTTTTAGGCATCGCATACCCAAGGAACAGTGGTGGCTGAAGCTGAGGCCCATCCTCAAAATTCTCGCCAAGTATGAGATTGACTTGGATACCTCAGAGCATGCCCACCTGGAGCATATCAGCCGGAAGCGGTCTGGAGAAGCTCCCGTCTAAATCTCTTTGGAACCAGGGGAATGGTCTGATTACAGTCAACTTAACCTGCTGACAGATTTAAGTCGTGTATTCTGAAGTGTCTTAGCTCTTTTTCATTTGGTTTCCTTTTCTTCTGTAACTATGGCCACTATCAACTCCAGCAGGGGGCAGATTAGAAGCTTCTTTTGGTAGAATTTATGACTTCTATCCAGCTTCATCTGTCACACAAGGCTGGGCTCCCTAGTGTTACTGCTAGATTTCAGTTACTCGGTTAAATTTTCCTAAAAGTAAGCTTTATTTATTTCTTTGTGATAACCAGGTTTCCATTCCCCTACAACTTTTACTACAGTGACAAACAGTAACTACACTAATAAATGCCAACTGGTCCCTGGGCTTCTGGCTCTTTATCTATCGTCTTGCAGTGGAATGTAATACCATCAGCCCCAACCCTAGACTCTGCCCAGGAAGAACAACGGGGAAATGCAAATGATCAGCCTGTGTTCTTCGCTCTGCCTCTTGGATTATTTTCTGTAGCTTCTCTTGGCTCTGTATGTGAGTCCTAAGAACATAGTCTTAGGGTCCTCCTCCACGCGCCTCCCTACATGTAAAATCATGTTTTATCTCTTGATCATATGTCCACAAGTCAGAGTTGCTTTTTTCCCCACTCACTCCACAACCGCTACTCCTCAGAGGCTCTTCCTTTCTGACTCCCATTTGGGGCAAGAGACACATTTGAAAACTTGGGAAAGAACAGACTCCCAGTCCTGGACCTGGTTTGGTCGGTAGGTTGAAATGCTGTTTTGAGGAATTGCCATTTCTTATTTAGCTCAATTTGTTTTCTGTTTTGTAATTTTCTCAGTAGCTAAACACCCATTAAGGAGCTGGTCCTCAGAATTGGGACTGCAGACTGTACCTCAGATGGACAGGATGAGGCCCCATAAATGCTAGGTTTACGATTAGCCTCTAGTAACCAGATCCTCACTCTTGGTACAAGCACATGCACTTCTCCCAGCCTACACAGTTTCTTCACTTGCTTGAAGCAGGTAAAAGGTTCAGGGTTTTACAAGGGGTGGAGGAGGGGATTGTCTTGAATACATTGCTTTAGCTAGTGTTCAAAGTATCACTGCTATATTCTAGAATCAGCACTAAATAGTGATGGAAAAGACTTGTTAGAGTCCAGATTTAAAACAGCCAAATACATGTTCTTTGAACAGTTTTATAAAGGGAAAAGAAACTAACAATGAATATCAAGCATTGTTATCATTCAATCTCTAAAACCACCTTTGAGGGGAGGGGTGGTAGTCCCATTTCAGAGATGAGACACTGGGGCACAGGGTGGTTAACTTTCTGGAAAAAAGTAGGAATAGGAGAAATGCCAAACTTACTTCTAAAACTTTATTTCTTTTTAACTGAGCAAAAAATACCAACAGCTAAAGGGCAACGGCAGACATACTTTTTCAAATTAGTATTGTCAGCAGATGCCCTTCATTTTTATTTGTAGTTCCCAGTCGGTTCTTTTAAAAAAGGTTTTTCAAGTTTGCATAAAGGTTATCTAATACCACTAACAACTTCGAGTTCAGTACCGTGAAAAAGAAAAGTATTCACTAAAAACTAAGCTTTCTTGGGTAGGTGGGCCATCTCAAAGGAAGCTCTCATAAAGCTCCCTCCCCCTCAGACTCTTAGCCTCAACCCCCACCCACACTCCTCCAGGCCTTGGATAGATTAGTAAAAAGCAAAGTTTCCAAAACAATAGAAAGCGATATAACTCCAAAGTCTTAGCAAAGTGAGCTTCTTAGGGAATGAAGGCTACCCAGCCCCTCCCACTGCTACCCAAAACACCTTGATCTGATGTGCCTGCTAAGCCCATTAGGCTTTCAAAGAGAAAGACTTGCATTTAGAAGGAAAATTCCTAGGGCATTTAGTTCTTAGGACTGCTTAGAACCTACTACCTCTTATATGTGGAAAGCTGCACAAGATAATCTTTCTGAAATAAAAGTGTGACCCCCCTTGGGCACACCCAGGGAAGCAAGGACAATGTTTCCTTTAAGGGTGAGAAAGGGGAACAAGCCCCTTTTGAATAATCCCTGAGGTGGCACCCTAGGGAGATGTCCAGTCCAGAGCTAACTGCGCACCATTTGAAGTGGTAATGTCTTCATCTTTGGCTCTTATTGTCAGCTGAAATTTTCTTAAGCATCTTTACAGATCAACCAAAATGTTTCTAGAGAGGTTCTTTGGAAATGTTAATCATGTCCATAAAGGAAAACCAAACACAATTTTTAAATACTATCATCTTTCCAGAGAAATTTAGTTGCTGTTAACTTTTTCCCTAAAGGGGAGGTTGAGGGTGAGGACTCCTTTTGTAGAGTGCAGTGTTAAAAAAACAAGTAAGCCATACACAAAAAACAAAACAAAACAAAACAAAATGAGGGATTATTTTTGTTTGGTTGCTTGGTTTGGGGAGGTGAGATGGTATCAAGGAAGGTTACTGTTGTGACATGTTACCTCAAACACATGCCACAGAACAGGAACAACTGCTTCTCCTGTTTTCTAAGACAAAGGGACAAGACCAAGGGAAAACCTCACCTAGAGCTGCCCGCCTGGCCTGCCTGGCCTGTGTCTCCTCCAGGCTATTCTACAAGTAACAGGTATTCTTTCAGAGACGCTGGTAGTGGCAGGCCTTTCACTGCATCTGGCAGATATTGCAGTCCCAGGCTCCTGCGCACAGCATAACGAGACAGTGTTTTTAGAGTCCCTGGGGCTGAGCACAGAACTGTCAGTTTTTCACACAGCTGCTGGTCTCTGGCCACTTCTCTTGGCATGGTGCCATTTTTCCTTAGTTCAAAGTGTCCAACCGCTCTGTGGAGGAGCTCAAAACAAGAGTCCTCTTTCTCTGTTCCAAGCCCCCTGACTAGTAGAGCCACCAGGCGGGAGATAGGTGTCTGGCCTTTTAGGTTGATGACTCTCACCTCTGCACCATAATCCAGAAGGATGCTGACACTCTCAAGATTGCCCTTCATGGCAGCCCAGCTGAGTGGGGTATCATTGTTGTAATCCAGAGCATTTACAGAGGCCCCACTCTCTAGAAGGGCCCGCACACACTCAGCATTATTCTTAAAGGCTGCCCAGTGAAGTGGGGTATCTCGGTTGCCATCCAGTGCGTTGGGGTTTGCACCATACTCCAATAGGACCTCCACACAAGACTCATCTTTCTCAGCTGCATAGTGGAGGGCTGTTCGGTTGTAACCATCCAGGGCATTCACCTGTAGAAAGAAGGGGCTAGATTTCAGCTAGACAGACTTATGAGAAGAAGCTACGTGTTTTTTTCCACTACCTTTGCTATGTATGTTCTGCACAAAAACAATCCCCGGGGAGTACTGTTGATCAACATGGAAATGTTATAGGAACTTAGGAGCAAATAAAAGAACTTTCCTTGAACAACCAGCACTAGTTGGGACATTGATTAGCTGGCCTGCATTATTTAGATTTTGCTGTTAAGTTCTTATTTACTAGCCACTAGAATCTCTAGTGTAAGGAAGCAAGAGAAGATGAAATTGAAGACCCTATAAACACCCTGAAACACATTTGTTGGAAAGCTGTTTGAATAGACAGCCAGAGTAAAGATTTTATTGTATTTATCCACACTCTACACTACAGCTAGTGGCAACCAGATGGAAAAGTTATGAGCCAAAGTTCTGTTCATATAGTTTTGCTGAATTCTTTATACAGTAAAGCTCAATTGTCAGCTTTACTGACAAAAGTCCAAATCCTATCCAAAGTCAGGCCCTTATAAAAATATGCTGTGGGGCCCTCCCTGGTGGCGCAGCGGGTTAAAGCACTGCACTAAGAAGCTTAAGCCACTTCCGCATGAGTTCAATCCCCGCCTGCCCAGGAGGAGATCCACATGGCGCGGCAGACCTCTCCTGACCCGCCCGCTGCTCCCCTCAGCAGTGTACTTCTTCGATCTGCCTGTTCTGCTCCCCACTCTGTCTGGTGAATCCTCTCACCCTCCACATCTCTGGCCTGTACCCCAGTTCTGTACGAATAAATAAATAAATCTTTAAAAAAAAAAAAATATGCTGTGGGTCCACAAGAGAACCCACCTGTGGGTTGAAAGCATGTGGAAGAAAAAGCATTTTACCAATGCTGGATAAGCAACAGGCTTGCTAAAAAGTATCACAATGTTTTTGGAGGCTACAAAGATTTCAAAACCCAAATTTATATGTAGCATAGTGCCCCCTGAAGTGCAATAAGAAAAACATATTTAGCAGAGTTCAATCTTTTGTTCAACTAAAATATTTTTTATTCCAGGATATTTTTACTCTTATCATTGACAGAAATCACTGGCTGTCATTTCAGAGTCACTCACTAAAGTTATGGAATCGATAACGACAAGCAGAGAATAGCATGCCTGTGGATGAAGATGCTGTTGTTGCCCCTATGACTAAGAGTGTTTAAGGTCGACTTGCTACTTGATGGCCTGTCTGCCTCAAGTTAGTGCCTTAGCCTATGGATCTTAAAGGATGCTCACAAATAGTAAAAAGGCTAATTTATTTACACAACAGCTTTCCACACACATGACAACTTTGTGAGAGGATCTCCATTTTATAGATGGAGAAACTGAGACTTGTTCAAGGTCAAACAACTGAAAGTGTCAGAACTGGAATCCAAATCCAGGATGTCTGGCTCCAGAATTTAATCTTTAAATCATTCATTATGCTGTGCTGCTTCTGGCCAACATAAATTCAGCTGTTTTTTTAAAGACACAACATTAGAAAGTTGGTGCAAAATACATGAAAAGAACGTAACTAGTGAGCAGAAATAGCACAAGTAGCCCAAACATGAGGAAGGGATCACATAGTGACATTTATTTCCCAGTGACAGTGGTATTAGAATGCATGTGTAACAGTGTGTCTCAAATTATTTAGATTTAATCAGAGTCAAAGGGCCTCTGCATGTACAACCCCTGACTATCAACAGACTAAATGGAAAGAACAATACCAGAAAGTTGGCTGGGAAAGAAGGGGATCTAAAACTCCTTTCCTAGATTAATGGACAGCTTAAGAATGGCAAGGAATGAAATGCTTAGGATCATTTTACATATTTCTTCTAACATTTTTCTTTGATATTGGTTATGCCATGAACTAGAAAGTAGGAAAAGTTAAAAGCCAGAATTTTTAAAGAAAATGTGAAGCTCAGTTGTAATGACTCATTAATGTGACAGTGTTAAAAACATTACCTCAGCTCCTTTTTCCAGGAGTAATTCTACACAGTCAGCATCTGACACCATGCAGGCACAATGCAGGGGCTTCAGTGTGCCATGGGTACAGTTCACATCTGCTCCCTGTGGGCACAAGAAACCAGTCAGTGTGCTCAGCCCTGGCTCTCCCAGCAGGGTTATACTCAGGTACTGTGGCCAGGAGCAAGAGGGTTCTAACTCTGACTATACTATATCTTAAACATTCTATAGGTCCCAGCTTCTAGTCCTATTAAATAAAGTAATATTATCATGCTAATATCCAACACAAGAGACTACACTGAGGATAAATGAGAGGAACAATTTTTTAGGTCAAGTTACTAAGTTTCTCCACAAGGTAGCCTGCCAGATGTTATTGGATATCAGGACATAACCTTATGTGCAAGAGCAGTGGAACAGGATCAGTAGGTAGGGAAGTTGGGGGAAAAAGCTACTTTCTATGGCCACCACATGCTGGAAAAATAGGAAGGGGAATCTGCCAGATGGAAGCTACGAGAACTGACAAACTGCTATTCAACAGTTGACCGCCACAAATAGTACGGCATCTTATTGTAATATTTTTGTTTACAAACATCTTCAAAACAGCCTGTTAGTATCAGCAGTTCTCTGCCATCTCACCCCTTCTGGTGCTTCTGTTTCAAATTTGATAAAGGAGATGGAGAAAACCAAAATCAAGACCAAAGTCACTGAATGACTCAGCAGAAGAGCTAGAATTAGAATGTGACAGAGCTCCTACTACAAACTCTCCTGATACCACTTTTGCTTAAAACAAGTTAAGGCTCTCTGGCATTTTGTTCTGGCACAGTTATGTGGCTATGCCATATAACTCATAAGGAGCTCAGAGCTCCAGGCTATAACTAATGATTCTAAAGTTGTTAAAAGAGAATGTATAGATGTAACTCCTGGATGCACTTCCTGGAGATCAAAGCATTATCCTATAACTTCTTTTCAACAAGAATACCATACTTAAAGGGCATCAAAGACCTAGGATACTAGTCATATACAGAATTACTGAATTCAGTGGTTAGGCATAAGACACTTAAAAGTGTTTTCTTAAGTTAAAAAATTATACATTTTGGGCCCTCCCTGGTGGCGTAGTGGGCTAAAGCACAGCAC